CTCACTATCCATTGATAACTACCAGTTGCAAAGAATGATAATGCTACCAATAACTGCAAAATGAGAATGTAGTTTAAAATTTATGCATACATGCATTGTTCTAAACAATCATCTAAATGACATATTATAAGGTTATATCAACAAAACATTGATATTATTATGTTAACTTAGTTCATAATCAAATAATAACATTAATTGTTTATATCACACAATTTCTATCAGGCACTTACTTTATATTTTGGTGATATGTCACTTCTCCTCTTTGAAACAGGTAAGAAGGGTCTCAGCTCTTCTTATATCAAATTAAATAAGTCTTTTGTGACGCGGTAATTTGCCACAAATTCTTCTTCGCCCATGGAGAATGCCCTATCCATATAACGCGCCAAACGACGCTCATTTCTTCTTATTTTGAGTTCATTTCTTCGGGCATTACGTAAAATAACGAAGGGAAGAGCTAATCGCGCCATATCTCACACAAAATGCTTGTTTTAACTTAAAATAATCGAACTCAATACACACACAGTACCTTTTTTGTTATTGTAAAAATCTCAATCGCTATCCAATTTTAACACAATACAATCGCAATTACAGCTGTCAAAATAGCGTCAAGAGTACGAATTCAAGTAAAACTCAATGCCATTTAGTTTAACCAATCTCCGCGCAATATGAGTCCAATTTGGCGCTAGTGTTGCAACTCAAGAGTACGAAACGTCACAATGCCAATGTCGATCGATCGGGATTGGTTTCAAGAGTAAGCACCAAGGTAAGGTAAGGTAAACAAGGTAAGGTAAGGTAAGGTAAGGTGTAGTTATACCCCTTTAGTGGGTGAGTTTTTGAAAAATCTTAGCGCACGCCTATATATATATTTCTGGAAAGTTGCATGTAGATCATTTTTCGAAAAAAATAAGGCCATAAAGAAGTTTCACTTCTTACGTGTGTACACTAGTACACGCACACATTTTTTTTTTCTTTTAGTAGATAATACTTTAATTGCTCGATTGATGGTGCTATGAATCGCAAATATGCGTTTCGTTCCACAAAATTCATCGGTTTCCGTAACTCGTTTTATAGGGCGACTCGCTTAGGGATACCATATCTCAGAATTTGTCCTGAGATTTCAGGATTTTCTGACTCTTCTCAGGACTGCGGTTGGATTTTGCAAATCTCATGAAATCTCAGGATTTTTTGAATTTTCAATAAAATACAGCTAACGTTTTGAAGATCTCTTTAATAAAAAGTTAAACAAACTAATGTTCTTTTGGTAATAATTGTCCAATTAAAATCTTAGACTTATCTTAAAATCAGTACCGCTGCCACCCCGTACACCCTCGCGCTTCGAGTGCTATTTACAACGCGTGAGCGACGTCTGCAGTGTATAATAATATTACGACTTTTTTTAAATTGTTAAATACGTTTGAGAGAAAATTCTCAAACTGTAAAAAACACAGGATTTTTCAATGGCAATCCAGCCTTTTCTCCGGATTTTTTTCATCTGGTAACCTTAAACTCGCTGGGCATGTATGGAGGACAGTGTGACCAGATTCAGTATATTAATACTTTTTCAGTATATTTTATCGATTTTTCCGAACATCAGTATATTTTCAGGTATATTGCTGGCAGTCAGTATTTTTGGGTATATTTTGGTAGAAGTTATGGCAACACCGTAGTGAGTGATCGTCTTTGCGACAATGTTTGCGGAATTCCCCGGAACGCGAACATTGAGGACTTTCCCGGATTTTACCTATACTTATACATGTTATCTATGAGCAAAGATGAGTAAGTTACAGAATGACAAGAAAGACGGCCGATGTCGGCGTTGTAGTATTGTAATACTAAATATACAATTATCAATCAATACATACTATTAATCAGACTTGCAGAATGTATGTTCGCCTAAAACTTTACAACTGCTGGACCGATTTTAATGCGGTTTGCACTATTAGATAGAGCGTGAAGAAATGAAGGAGGTTGTGTAAATTTTAATCCTTCGAAAAGGATGTTAAAATATAACTCTAACATTTATCGTGAGTATGAATAAATAAAACGTGTTAAGAAAATCAGTATTTTTATTGGTATATCTGTCCTATGTAAGTCGGTACATTTCAGTATTTTTTTGAGATGTCTCGGTATTTTCGTAAAATTTAATCTGGTCACACTGATGGAGGAGGAGAGGTAGAGCATAGCAGATTAAAAATTGAAGCACCCGTCTAGGAATTTACCTCCACCTTACAGATCACATTAAAATAACACTACCTTTTGGTGGTATTGTATTTCTATAGGAGAGTAAGTTTCCAGGGCTCCACGGGGTCGGGAATTGGGTCAGGGTAGGCAAGGAAGTGAGTAATATTTTTGGTCTCATAAATTCGCAAGCGTCTATAGGCTACGCTGGCAGCTTACCATCAGGCGGGTCATATGCTTGTTTGTCACCCTATTAACATAAAAAACTGTTCGAACTCACTGCCGAATTTAGGGGAGGGCAACCGGGGCGAAAGCCCCGGGGCCTCCACAAACGGGGGGCCCCCACAATACAGACTTCGGAAAAGAAAATCTTTCAAACTCCAACTAGTAAACACTAGTAAACATCTTTTCCTTTGATATTTTTTTTTGCTCTTTTACCTTTACCTACAGCCTACAGTACCTTGTACATCTAACATACATGATTATTTGATTATATTAATCTTAAATAACAGAAATCATTGATCTATATTTGTTCACTCCAATCAGGCAATCAGTAAAATATCAAAATCTCAAATGGCCCTGATAAGCACTTCCAATTCACTACCCATCTTGAGGGAGTACCCCAATCGCTTAATGGCTGCAGGGCCAAATTTAAGGCAGGGCAGGTGGGGCTGTGGCCCAGGGGCCTCCACAACAGCTTAAGAAATAACAACATTTCGATGGGTCAACAAGCATGCAAATCCTAAGTGGCCCGGGGCCTCCACAACAGGATATAAGATAACAAAATTTCGATGGGTTAACAAGCATACAAATCCTAAGTGGCCCGGGGCCTCCACAATCCTAAATCCGGCCCTGCTCGAACTATAAAAATCACAAACCACAGAAAATTTTACTAGAAAAAATCCATTCTGTCCTGTCCTATGACGGGATTCGAACCCTCACCGTGAGTTCATTGGCGCAGTGGTTATCATGTTCCGGCTGCGATGGTGGATGTTAAGCAACTTAAACAATAGGCGTCATAGGATGGGTGACCAAATGTTTTTATCTCGAATTCCCCTATGATTGGGAACGTAGACATGCTGTTGGGACCAATTCACACTGGGCCTGTGTGGTGGACTATTCTTCCTATTCCTTCATAGTCAAGTTCTACGCCCTAGCAATGGGGAAATTAATGCTCCATTCATCCAAGATCCAAGATTCGGACCTACAACACAAAGATTAGACCGATCTTGATACAAGTTTGTGTGGCCTACACGCTAACCATTAGAGAGGAGAATAAGCTGTTAGTCGCCGAAAGAAAGATTCTGCGTAAGATCCTGGAGCCGGCTCAAAGAGAGGATGGCAAGCGAAGTGTACGAGCGAATATCGAGTTGGAAAATCTAGTGCCCGAACGTAACATCATAGGAGAAATTAAAGCGGCTAGACTTCCCTGACTCGGACATGAAGAAAGAATGGCAGTGGACCGAGCCGTGTAAAGAGCGTATTTGGTGCGGCCGATAGGACGACGACCCTTTGGACGTCCCAGATACTGCTGGAACGACGAGGTGCAGAAGAACTTGCAGTCTTTGGGTACCGACTGCTGGCGGGATCTAACACGGAATCGCAGAGCCGCTTTGGATCGTGGCGCCGCAGCAGTAAGTAAATTAGTGCAGAGTATAAGCGCATCGAAGCATCAATCTGAAATACGTACAAAAGGAATGAACATATTCCTTCAGAGATAAAAAAAGACGAACAAATTTTCGCTAATTATCAGCTCAGAGGGCATGTGCATTATGTTGCCGAGATAAAGGTGAATTTCTTGTATTACTGTTTTGAAAATTGGCTTGGGAGTATAAAGCCGCGTATCGACTGCGCGCGGCTGCCGCGCGAGCCATGTTAGACCGCGGCAAACCTGCGTTTTGGTGCGCGAGCCAATTTTAAAGCTCACATTTTCATATAGCGCGGCATGCGATCCGTGAACAAACATTCATTTTGTGCGCGGCAACCATGGACGTATCACGCCAGCGAAGTAGTCATTTTTTCTTCAACTCTGGCACGGGCAGGCCCATTTCTACGCTTATTTCATTCCATGCATCCTTTCTTAGAGATTTATTATGATATTCAGTGCATTTACTATTCCATAAGTAAGGTTTTAAGCCATATAATCTAATCAAATGCCGACACTTCTCGTTATCCCGCCGCGCGTCTCTAAGTAAAAGGTCCGTCCGAATTGCTCACGCACAACATACTGACGCTCTTTTGCCGCGCCACACAAAAACCGACACGAACTGGTTCGCCGCGCGGCACCTTCGAGCTGCCGCGTGCGGCGGAGCAGATGGTTTGCCGCGCGCAGTCGATACGCGGCTTAAGAAGTGGATAAAGTATTTTAAATTTAACTTTTGATGTGTTATTGCACCTTATGATTGATTTAAACTCAAAAAAGACAACAGTCTCTTCTTTTCAATATGTATAGAGCACGGGGGCCATATTTACCCTCAGGTCAAAGGTCACGGCCCGGGGCGGCAGGCTGCGAGGGGCGGTAAAAGACCCAAGGCATAAGTTACTGACCTATACTATTGATGAGATATACTAATACTAGCACCCAGAATGGCCCGGGCGGCAGATTTCAAAACCCCGATAGAACACAAAAGAAATATATTGTTGTCAAATTTAGTCTAACATTTTAGAGAATCATGCAAGAATCAGGCACATTGTATCATTATTTCATTAAAAAGTTAATGAGTTAGATGGCAATGTGATAAAAATATCAATTCACATAATTATCATACAGGATTTACATATATGTATGTTAGGAGGAAAATAATAACACTTCATTTGAAAAGCACCACATACTGATAAAATTTCAAATCATATTGGGCTGAATAACAAAGAATACATAAAACATACATTAAAATAGCTTACATTGAAAAATATTGATCACTTGATTAATTTATATACAGTCTATCTATCAGTGTTACATTGAGCTTCTTTAAATACTGGTAACATGGGTCACATTTTAACAGCACTACACACAGTACAGTTATCACACGGAACACCATCTGGTAAGCATTCGACATGGAAAGAATGTCGACAATTGTAAACTTTTAGATCAGATGCATTTGCCAAGTCTTTTATTATGATACGACCTTGACATACACAACATAAGAAATCATCTGTAACAGATATTCCTCTCTGATGACCTATAATCAATTTCTCATGTAAGTCAAAGTAATTCCTTAGGGTTATCACCTTGCAGGCTTCCTGTACTGAGAGCTGAAGGTGGTAGTCACACATCATTTTAGCTAATGACTCTTTGAGATCTTTTATCTCACAGCCAGGCTGAATATTTTGGATTAGCATTCTTGGGTCGACATAGTTTCCTATCCTTTTGAGAAGTAAAGTCACATAATCAGGCTTATCCACTGTCTGCTTGATGAGGTCAGTCCACAATTCTTTATCATTATGCTCCTGGCAAAAATTGATTGCTTGGTTAATGTCATTCAACTGCTCTATGATGATTTTTAAAGCTTCTCTGGTGTTTCCAATACGTCCCTGTAGGAAAACCATTTCTGGATAAAAACCATTGACTTGACACACATCAAGTGCTTCCTGGATTGGGTAACTGTCACTACATTTAAGAAACGGTAGCAACTTCTCTCTTGCATATTTCGCATACAGTCTTACAAGTTTCCCATGGTACTTTCCATTAGGTTCAATCTTGCTATATGCATCTAAGTACTTATACAGATAAATGTCATTATTTTCAAGCTGTTTTTCTACAACTTCTACAGGAACCTGTAATTGCTTTGAGATGACTGTTTTATCCAAGAGAACAGATAAAGCTTTATCACAATCTAAGGTCATCAGATCTAGTATTTTGTCATGTATGACATTGTACATATTGTGCTTAGTGATCAGTTGAAACACATCTTTATGCTGTAGCTTCAGATAAGTTGTGAGTGCTTTGTCATATTTTTTTTGATAGCAGTATAGTAAAGCCAGAGCTTCCAGGTAAACATTTTTATCAACTTCAGTAGTTAACAAATGTTCTATAACCTCCTTTATAATGTAACCAGTTTTATATAGTTCTGGGTTCCAATCTTTAACTAATTTTAGAAATCCTTGTGGATCCACTTTAAGATATTCATAAAATATTAGTTCATAAATGTGTGGGCTTAAAGCTTGCTCAGGGTTTTTAGGCACATATGGACTAATAGCTCTCAATTGGTTAACTTCAGCAAATTTAACGATTTGATTCTCCCATAACACCTTATCTGTCTTACATATTCTGGCACACAGTATGGCTGCTTCTTCATATAGGTGCTCAGACATCAGATGGTCCAAATACTGCACACCAACTGTAACCACAGAGTGTTTATAGGTCTTCCCTCCCACTTCTTCTAAAACAGTAATGGCCTTTTCAAATCTTCCATGTTCAGTTAGCCAATTTACCCTATCATCAATGTCATAGGGACTGGCAATTACTATATCTTTAGGAGAAACAATAAAAAATCTATTTTCTTCAATGAGCATGTCTAAATAGTAATCATTGCATGAATATTCTTCATAGCCTCTTATGTTAAGGTGGTCTGTGGAAACTTCACAAAACTCACAGTCTTTGTAGTCTGCTACTGACAGAACAGGTCTCTGTGCTTTACCTGTCTCCGGGTCACATTCTTTTGGCACTCCTAATATAACAAGTTGGTCATCCAAAGGTCCCAAACCACTTATGTAATAGTCTGTCTGGAAAGTATGTACAGGGTCAACTAGATATTCTGTTACATCTCTTGTCTGCAACTCAATTTGACTTCTTTTTCTAATAATGCATATTCGGATAGTGTCCACCCAACCAATCATTAGAGTTTTAGGAGCTGACCACAAAAGATTACAACGATAATCTTCAATGGACTTGTTTGGGCTTTTCTCCCATTGAATAAGACCCAGGGAGCATCTAGCCACTAGGTCATAGACTCTGACACCCACTTCGCTGGCCCAGGCTACGAATCTGTCATGCCAGGCCATGGACTGCACATAGCCTTCACATTCACAGAGGACTGTGCTTCGAAGTCGGTTCAGAAATGTCTTTTCATAAAGAATTAACTTATTATCACCTGTAACAATAACAATATAGTATTTAAATAGTAAGAAACCACTACAATTGAAATAAGTTGTTACAAAACATTCAGTAAAATTTTCATAGCTTATATGATTTATTACTTATTCATTATATATGTACTTGTATATATTAAACCTATAGATGTAGTTCCTATATTTATATGTATTTAAAATGTATGTATATTCAGGTGTATACACTGACTGCCTTTTCTTATATTCTTTCCTACTACGGGCCTACTGGAAGAAATTTCAGATTCAAAAAAGTTGTGCCCTTGCACATGTATATTTAATTAAGTTGGTCCTATATCTATATTTTTGTGTACAGAATACTGTTTAGCTAAATCTTAATTATTAATTTACTGATTTATTAGATATACCTGTTAGAAATCGTCGTCCTGACCCAGATTTGAAATAATATGGGTCTAATGCAACAGATTTGACCACTCTACCCAACGACAGGTTGTGTGTATTGTCATTAGAGTACAGGCCATGGACCAACACTTTCCCATCGTCAGAACAGCTCGCAATATAGTCTCCGTTCACATCTACAGATATTTTGTTAACAGCGATCGCGTGTGCTTGCAACTCTTTCTCATTTCCATCTTGAGAGATCGGCACTGTATTACCTTCATGATCAAGTAAGTGTATGACTCCCCATTGTGTCCCAAGGCAAATAAATTTTGTGTGGACACAAATACAGCTTACTGCGTCTTTCAAAAGAATGTTTTGAATATCGTTACTCATACGAACGTATTTCAACTTTGGCTCGTCATCCGGCGGAAGACTGTCACAACTTTCAAAATTTACAGACATTGTGTTACACTACACATTAAAGTTTGAATCAGAACAAATAAATATTTTTCCCTTTTCCTCACTCATAACTTTATTTTGTTTGCTCGAACATTGTGACATTGACATTTGGTTTGATTTTACATTTTTTTTTAATTTATTGGCAATGGATAGTTTCATTTTACATTTGTTTCAGTGTTGCCCCCTTGGTTTTTGAAAAGGGGCAGTCGGACAAGATATGCTATGCTAGAAAGAGCTATTTGGCATGTCATCAAAAAAAGGTGCTAAAAAGTGCTAAAACTTAAATACAAAAGCAAAACTCAAAATTGTTAATTTGAAACGTATTTAGTAAAATAATTTCAGAAAGTGCAAAAACAATATAGGTATTAAAATTAAGTAGGTAAATTGTAAAAGATCGTTCTTCTTATGGTTTTGGAAGATTCCTATGTTCCAAAATCATATCACCTATAGCAAAAGAATTATGGCAGTTCATTAAAATATTTCAACAAGTTATAAAAAACTAATGTTCGCTTCGCTCTCTTTGCCCTAAACTGTGGAAACAACAGATACTGAAAATATGTATAAGATTACGATACCAAATTGTCACTATATCCTATATTAGTCGGCTCATACTTAAAAACAAAGGTTAGCAAATCCCTAGCAAAGAAGCAGAAACAGTAGGCAGTGATCATAATGTATGCCACCCATTTGTTACACAACTTAGTAATCACGGTGCGAAGTTTTCGTTTTGCTTGAAAAGGGCCAGATTGCTCTTTTCGGACTAAAGCTTGAAAAAATGAGTTTCTGTACAATAAAAAAGGGCTACATCAAGTACGAAAAGAACTAAGTTGGCAACACTGATTTGTTTATTTTTAATTTTTTGTTATTTTTTCCTATTTGAGACAGAGGATTTAAAGTCAATACAGTGCAGATTCCAACATTTAATTTTTAACTTGATTCCTTTTTATAGATGGGTAACCCGATTTAAGAATTTACTAAGTCCTAAAAGTTATTTTTAAGATAATGACATTTTATGACGTTAATTATTGACTTTTGAAATAACATGAGATGATGGAAAAAATATATAAAAAGTATGTTTTACCCATATTTTTCTCATTCCGATTAGTCTGTAGAATTGGAAATATTCTAGTCATGGAGTCGCTAGAATCGTTGAAGAAAGCTTTATAAAAATATCTCTCCGACTCAGAAACAGATTTTAACAATCGCTTGATTGGAGCGATCGAATCTCCCATGAATCGGCTTTAATGAAAAAATGTCTGTTAGGTTCTAATTCATAGTTTCCGTGACGGCAGCCCTCTCTTGTAGTTCTATCCTACATGAGAGGGCCGCGGAAGGACCTGCGAGGGGAACACGTAGACAGCCACTTCGGCAGCGGAGAAGGAGAGTAGTGTGTTGGGCAAAAGGCCGACCGAGCACTTATCTCCCAGCGCGGGCGTGCTCCCAGTCTTGCGCAACTGCAGGATCACCCGAGATACACCGGTTGATCCCTGTAGTGGAGCCCCGGCTAGGCCGGGAAGCTATCAGGTGCGGAGTCGCGGTGAAATCCCTCAATGGCGATGTCGTGATTCCGCACTTAACAGCGTAGAGTGTATTTGCAGGGTTTTTAGCGGATAGTATGCCGTAAGTGCTCGAAAGCCGGGTGGACTGATTAGCGGCTTCTCCGTTTCACACCCGCGGGACTTAAGAGAGGCTAGGTGTGAGGTTCTTTCGTTGGAAGGTTCCCTTTAAGGGCGTCAACGTCTGTAAATAGAGGTTTTGGCTGCTTAAGAAAAAAAGGCCCTCATATAGAAAACAACAAACTCATACAGTTCTCAAAAGATTTTCTTATTGTGAAATCGAATCAACAGTTCAAGGCGCAGATTACAAAAACACGGCGTCTACATGGTTTCCCATTCTACATTATTAAAAAAAAATGGTTGCCTGTAAAGTCGGTTTTACGGGCGAAGATTTTATGTGACAACGTCTTTTTCTCGGTAGAATATTTATTGATATGAATATAATTAAATTGCACAATAGGAACAAGGAATTGAATGAAAATAAGAATTGCACAAATTTTAACTATAGAAATATATTTTGTTTACTAAAACATTGTACATGTAAACTTAAACTTAACACGAGAGACTCATCGTAACGTTACCGAGCGTTACACTTTTTCATAAGTGACTCCCAGCCGCAACCTAATTTAAGACGTTGTCACGTCAAAATATATAATAAATCGTTAAGAACACGATGACGGTGGCCATTAGAACTTAGAGCAATAAATTAGCGATTTTATTCAAAAAAAAATGGTTGCCTGTAAAGTCGGTTTTACGGGCGAAGATTTTACGTGACAACGTCTTTTTCTCGGTAGAATATTTATTGATATGAATATAATTAAATTGCACAATAGGAACAAGGAATTGAATGAAAATAAGAATTGCACAAATTTTAACTATAGAAATATATTTTGTTTACTAAAACATTGTACATGTAAACTTAAACTTAACACGAGAGACTCATCGTAACGTTACCGAGCGTTACACTTTTTCATAAGTGACTCCCAGCCGCAACCTAATTTAAGACGTTGTCACGTCAAAAATTGTTTGTACTTAGGGTTTTTATGAATTGTTTTTTTTCGTAATCTTAAAATGTGACTGAGATTTTTCTGAAGAACCCCAAATACCTACACCTTTCGAAAGAGAATAAAAAGCAAATCAGATAGTGTTGCTAACGCATAACTGTAAGAATTAGACTTTGTGATTTTATGAATTGGATGGAACAACCAAATTAGTACGATAATGATAAGAATAATAGTCAAATAATATTGCCAGAAACGCTTTCGAAAAAGTTTCAAAGCGATAACAGTTGAGTGTCAACAGCGATTCGGAACGAATACAAAGGCGATCAAATTGCAAGTAAAGTGTTCAAGTGCGATTGTTTGAAGACTTGTATAGTGAAATACAGTGTTTAGTGAGTGTATTGTGATTTACATTGTGTGTGAACTGTGTGGTGAATAAAGTACTGTCGAACGTGAACTGGCATATAATTTCTATTATAACCCCATCCCGACACGTAACAAAATATTACGCCTTTTTCAGGTTTAGAATTCTATTGTTATGGAACCTTTTAATTATTATCAGTAGGAGACTAAGGTATACTTTTTATATTATATTTGCGTTATGTTACATTTCTGACATGACAGTTCTTCGTGGCATCTCAAAATATACGTAATAGGCTGTATGAGCTTTGTATTCATTGTTTTTCTTTAAAGAAGAACCATATACATAGTGTAACTACGGTGAGATCTATGATTGGTGTGAATTTTAGCGCCAAAATAATTTGACTTAGTACAAGTTATTTTCATTGCGGAACCTTTGTATAATTATAGGTACCTATCGAAAATAAACTTGCATTTCGTATTTATGATGAAGGGACATGAAAAAGAACGAATCGATTGGTACAAAAAGCAATTATCTCCTTTCGGCCAAAAAGTATTGGAAATTTTAGCGGAACAATCGAGATTGGGTGAGTTAATTTAAGTTTTAGCATAATTCGAAATCAGTTACCACAAAGTTCGTTGTGCTTCTGCTCTGGCCTGGCACGGGAGATTTTTCGTGTAGGTATAGGTACCCAAAACGGTTCTCCACATGATTTTCAGCTTTATTCCAATTGATTTACGATGCATAATAATAAAGAACTTGTAACTCGATGTGTGGCTGACTGTAGGTACCTGAGGTAGGTGCACAAACATTTTCCAGGGGAGCTTAATGGCACTATGGTTAGCGCGATTAGTCTACGATTGTGGAAGTTATGCAGCGTTGGCGATGACGCGTCATTCGATGGGTGATCAAAAGATATTATCTTTAGACATCAGTGTCTCGAGGCACGTTAACACGTCGGTTCCATCTCTGCATCTCGAGCCGTTCGCGTTCCATAATTTTGTAGTACATTCTAATCGTAATTACCACGTAGGTAGTTACACATAAGGAACTTTTTTCATTCTTGGTTTCAGATTTTAAAAGCATCTGTTGTAGTCAATTCGTTTTTAGTTTATGATCGATCCCTGTAATTGTAATTTGTGTGTTTGAAAAAAAAAACCTTATATGAAGGTGAAGACATAATTACCATTGTGCAGGGCCGGATTTAGAGGTGGTGATTTGAACCCAACCCCCTTGTTTGGATGACCTCGATTTTTCATCTCTGTTGTGAGGCCCTTTCTTGTCCTCTCCTTGAGCCACAGCCCCGCCTGCCCTCCCTAAAATCCGGTCCTTTCATTGTGTGAAAAGAACTAAAAAGATACACTTTGTTTTAATGTAAATACCCGCGTACTTATTGACTCAGACGTTTGCCGCGCGGTAGGCCTCTGAGCCACAGTGAAGCTGGGCTAACATCGAAAGATTGCGTGGGGTTAATAACCAGATTGGCTCAAGACTGATGGTATAAGCATTTAGATTAAACGAAAAAGGGAAGATACGGCACTCGCGGCTCAAAAGTAATCCGCTTAAATTGTAGTGCATGACCTCAATTCGCTTTAGTCACAATTGGACATCAGAATACGATGCATGTGCACTCAATATAACATATTGCGTATATTATGTGTTATAAAAGTAAAACAATGCCTTTAAAAATAGTTCAAGATCAAATAACAAATACCACGTTATTGACGTGGTATTTGTTCTTTTCATTCGTAAAACTATAAAAACATTTTTTCTCAAAAATCACGGTTTTCCATAAATGTTAGTTACTGATTCGCCATATCAAGAAAAGGATTGTGAAGCGCGCCACCAACCCCGATGTGACGACCACGACCACTCTGTCAAGAGTGTAGCGCCGAAGAAGAGAAGCAGCATTAAGCGCGCGTTATCTTTTGCTGCTAGCTTCAGCTTCACCGTGGATTGGCCGCCTCATGTAAAAAATTCAAAGACAGCGGCGCCCTCACCCGGTTAACTTCTGAGTCTGTTTCGCGAGTCTGCTCGCTCAGTCAGTCAGTACGCGGCTTTTAAGTCTTAATATCTTAGATTAGTTAGGAAGTAGTATTTTTCAAATTAGTATTTAAGTATTCCATTCTTTACAGAAAAACTGGAAAGATGCTTTGCGAGACTAGAACAAAATTGCGTACGAGAGAAGAAAGTCATTCAGTTAACATCGCTTTTATTACCTAGTTTTATTGCATCGGTTTCATTATTTAAAAAATATTAACTAGTTATTTATAATTTTTCCATTCCCTTTTTTTTATATTATTCATAGGTACTTAATTAAATTATTTTTTAGCTTTGGAGAATGGGATTCTTATATTCCGTCACCGTCAGAACAAATGAGAAATGTTATTGGACGGACATTTTCAGACAAAAACGAAGATTCCACCGTGTATTGTAGGGATGATTTAATAAATTTTGCCGTTGAACCAACTGTAGCTAAAAATAAAAAAAACGAAACATCTAAAATTGTGACTTTTCATGAAGAAAAAAACCAAATCATCACAGAACTTCCCAAAATAACACTGTCACCAGAACCATCGCGCATTGTTGAAAATGTAAATTGGGAAAACATGGTAGATTTTGAATTATTTCATGATGCTGTGATTGCACAACCAGAGGAAACAATTGTACCTATGAATAAAGACTTAAAGTGTAAAAGTTTAATTCCTGAATTACCGTTAATTAATGAAAAGTTGAAAAAACCCGTTGCGAAACGCAAAAAAATAATATCAATAGAAAAAAATAATAAAAAGCCAGACTCGGCTTCTAAACTTATACGTAAAAATAAATGTACAAAAGCTGTAAAGAATTGGCTAGATGATGTAGATCAAAACGTCCCAGACGAAAGCATAGAAGCTAATAACCAACATGATACAAGTGAAAACCATAATAATAAATCAATAGAAATTACAAAAAAAAAAGAAGTACAGACAAAACTTACAAATAAAGATGGTATCATGAAGTATGGTAAACCAGAATCTATTAGCGTAAATGAGAAACTTGCGCAAGCGGAGGTTGATAAAGATATTCCACAAGCGGGTGATATTGCACAGGATAAAAGAACGAAACCGAAATTTCTGGTTCCTATCAAATCACAAATACCGATCAAAGACATCTCTTATGAGATTTTAACCAACGAAAATAAGGAATGTATCGCCGAAATGGATAAACTAAAGGATAACACGGAAATATTGGCAGTCCTTGTCTATAGGTAAAATAAATTAGGAAAGCTTGTTAGCATTCCTAAATAATTTTATGTTGCAGTGCGCATTAATAAAACACCGTTGAAAAACGTAAGTAGGAATAATTTGTAACTGCTTGTTTTTTAGGAATGGTTTCTGCCAGTTGAACAGCATTTATACAGAGGAAACCTGTAGACCCGATGGGATTCTGTTTCACGTTGACAAACGTTTCTACTTTATCAATAAGTTTGACGGAGATGTTAAACAAGTTATAGAAAGAATATTCGAACGAGCTACTATAATATGTTACGACGGAAAAAATATATTGATGTTCCTGTTACAATTCATCGAATTTCGTCCGAATTCTATATTGGATGCAAAGGTTGCCAATTAAACGCACGCCAATTTGTTTGATTTCTATAGCAGTAGACTTTTTTTTTTTATGATTTAATAGATTGCAGGATCGTTATTGGATCCTGAAAATCTTCCGGAGAGTTTTTCAGAGGTTCAGAAATATTTGTCGTATACTCCAGAGTACACGATCACCACCGACAGCGCACTCCAGAAAGCCGCCTGGTACTCTACCCTTCTGAAGGAATGCTTTTCCAAGTTGAAGTTCCTTTTGATGGAGAATTCCTTGTGGAAAATATTCGAGGAAGTTGAAATGAGGTTGTTGCCCATTGTAGCAGGTGAGTGTATATAACTGATTGACGATGCAGTGTAATAAAATATGGGTTATTGAAAAAGTTTCTGAAATTGTATGCAGATTAGATTTGTCATGAATTCCCTTTGAATTTGTATCTGAGTATCTTTTAAATAAATAAAAAAGAAAAAAATTAATAAAAGCCGGTTGGCACTACTACGTAATGCTATCTAGACATGGAAAGATTCGGAGTGTGCGTGGATATGGAGAAGCTGAAGTCGATGGAGCAAGTTCTGTTAACGAAAATGCAGGCGGTAGAACAGGAGTGCCACAAGGCGGCAGGCAAGGCCTTCCAGATCAACTCGCCCGTGCAGGTGCGCGCGCTGCTCTACCACGACCTCAAGCTGGATGAACTCAGCAATATCAGGGTCAAGGAGACGGCCGCTATAGGAGCTAAGTCTACATCTGAGGCCGCTGTGAGTATTTTCGATGGCCCCAACGTAAATCTTCGATACTCAAAATTACATCTAACGAAAGTTTTACTAGAAAAAATTCTTTACGGTCCAGTCATCAGGCAGGATACGCCTCGGCTAGCAGTTAAAACGCTTAAATGAAAATATCATAATTAACAATTACGTGTTTATTTTCTTAATTGTTAAATCGTCTTCTTTAGACCACTTCAGTTTCCATAACATATTCCCAATAAATATAAACGTATTCTTTTTATCTTTCATTATCATCAGCCTATTAATGTCCCCACTGCTGGGGCACAGGCCTTCCCTATGGATAGAATAGAGAGATTGGGCCATGACACACCACACGGGCCCAGTGCGGATTGGTGGGTGCTAACGACTGCAGATGCAGACGGGACCAACGGCTTAACCTGCCTTCCGAAGCACGGAGGACCTCAAGATAGTAATTTTTAGTCACCCATCCAATGATCGACCATTGCGAAAGTTGCTTAAGTTCAACGATCGCAGCCGAACGCGCTAACCATTTGCGCCATCGAGCTCCTCCTTTTTATCTTTAGTGGGATTTAAAATATACTAAAGTAGGAAGGAGATAAGTTAACGAAAAAAGGTTAAATGGAAATTTGAATCAGGATGCACTCAATTGCATTTCTTTAACTTGTTGTTATTCACCCAGCTGCGTAGCTTGATGTCCCTCCATCCGTTGCCGAAGCTGATCCTGGAGTACCGCCACTTGCACAAGGCTCACGCAACGTTCCTGGCCGGCATCGCGAATCAGGTCAAAGACGGCGTAGTCAGACCCACGTGGTGAGCTGTAGCTTGATATCCGTCCATCAGTTGCCGAACTTAATCCTGGAGTACCGCCACTTGTACGTTCCTGGCCGGCATTGCGCACCAGGTCAAGGTGACGTCGTCAGATCCACGTGGAGAGCTGTAGCTTGATATCCGTCCATCAGTTGCCGAAGTCAATCCTGGAGTACCGCCACTTGCACGTTCTTGGCCGGCATTGCGCACCAGGTCAAGGTGACGTCGTCAGATCCACATGGTGAGCTGCAGCTTGATATCCTTCCATCAGTTGCCGAAGTTGATCCTGGAATACCGCCACTTGCACGTTCTTGGCCGGCATTGCGCACCAGGTCAAGGTGACGTCGTCAAATCCACATGGTGAGCTGCAGCTTGATATCCTTCCATCAGTTGCCGAAGTTGATCCTGGAATACCGCCACTTGCACGTTCTTGGCCGGCATTGCGCACCAGGTCAAGGTGGCGTCGTCAGCCCCACGTGGTGAGCTGTAGCTTGATATCCGTCCATCAGTTGCCGAAGTTGATCCTGGAATACCGCCACTTGCACGTTCTTGGCCGGCATTGCGCACCAGGTCAAGGTGGCGTCGTCAGCCCCACGTGGTGAGCTGTAGCTTGATATCCGTCCATCAGTTGCCGAAGTTGATCCTGGAATACCGCCACTTGCACGTTCTTGGCCGGCATTGCGCACCAGGTCAAGGTGGCGTCGTCAGCCCCACGTGGTGAGCTGTAGCTTGATATCCGTCCATCAGTTGCCGAAGTTGATCCTAGAGTACCGCCACTTGCACAAGAAATACGCCATGCACAGCTTTGCGGCAAAACAGCTACAATTTTGATAGATTTTCAAACGTATTTTTCTGTCACTGCCAGTGTTTGCAAATAACGAAGTGACTTTCTTCATTTGTGTGAGATTAAAATGAACTCTTTCCAAAGCTGATGTGGCAAATTGAGTAAATTTACGTAAAATCAACGCATCGAACAGAAACTTTTGTGGGTATATACTGAGAACTTAAATAACTATTATGATTTTATTTATTTTTAAGCATTTAACTGCTAGATGTTTAAATCTAAAGAAAAGTTTACTAGAAAAAAATCCACGCGGACCAGGCAGCGGACGGGACTCGAACCCGCATCCTTCGCAATCCGGGCGAATGCACTGACCACTATGCTACCACGGCCCTCTTAGCCGCGTCGAAATTTTCCTAGCCTTAGGCTGCAAGGCAGCGCCATCTCTTCGCATTGTAGGCAACCCACAATGTCAAACGAATACTTTTTCAAGTAATAAACATTTGAAAGAAGAAATAGCAATTATAGTTATGATTTTATTTATTTTTAAGCATTTAACTGCTAGATGTTTAAATCTAAAGAAAAGTTTACCAGAAAAAAATAACTATTTCCTAATTTATCCCAATCCCAGTAATTAGGACTGCAAGTATTCATATTATTTACATTATTGTTGGTATTTTTGTTTCATTTTCTCTAAAATAAATATTAAATTTAATTGACGTCTCTGAGTTCGGCCAATAGAATGATCATTATGGCAGGGTCCAGATAGCATCAGCGACGGGGCGGATGGCATCCAACAATCCCAACCTGCAAGCGATCCCGAAGACACCATTCAATCTTGAAATGTTCCCTGAATCCGAAGACGCTGGTATGTAATTGTTTAGATATTTCTTATTATTTTCTTTAAAGAAGATCTGATGTTTAATGAAATGTTACCTATATGCGTTTTTTACCATTCAAGCGATAAGTGAACGATACCTGTACAGTGTCTAATGGTTTACCATGGCAGTGCTGGCCGCGCCAGATAAGTCTACGCTCGACTGATGGCGCTACCTTCATCTTCAAAATAATATGCTCTGCCGTTATTTAGACAAACGGGATGATGATAACAAATTTGCCAGCGAAGAATATTGCCACTACTTATTATACCTTTAAAAGTTATTTAAGCGTCATTTTACAAAGCAAAAGTTGGATTAAGGGAGGAATTTAGCGGGTTTATCTGATTTTAAACTGAAAAACATATTTATGTAGTAACTAAAACAGAAAGTCGATCGCACAAATGATTGTCGTCATGCACGTTCTTCTAATTATTGATTGACGAGCTGTACTAACACTACAGTGAAGTATTCTACCAACAGTTACAACAACACTAATCGCTACTCTTGGAACACGTTGTCATGTATTTAAAAAGGAATTAATTTTGTCACGGATTACTTCTACCGAATTAGGTACAAACAAAAGTACCCACGTAGCATACGCTTGTGGGAGTCGGACAATCGGGGACTAACGGGACGTGGATGTTGTACATAATATTCATCAGGAGGAGCATTGCTGAACTTCCGATCAGTGTACGTTTCGCGCGAGGGGTTCTCTCTGCTGGCAGCGGACTTCAGACACGTGGAGTGCCGCGTGTTTGCTGCCGCCGCCGGCGACCGCGCGCTGCTGGATGCTCTCACACACGACGACCTCTTCCGAGCGCTCGCCGCCAACTGGTACCTACCTACACTCAGCAAGGAAGCACTCTTCAGCCGTAGACACATTGATGGCGGCGCACTTCAGGCACGGGAGTGACCGCGCGCTGCTGGATGCTCTCACACACGACGACCTCTTCCGAGCGCTCGCCGCCAACTGGTACCTACCTACACTCAGCAAGGAAGCACTCTTCAGCCGTAGACACATTGATGGCGGCGCACTTCAGGCACGGGAGTGACCGCGCGCTGCTGGATGCTCTCACACACGACGACCTCTTCCGAGCGCTCGCCGCCAACTGGTACCTACCTACACTCAGCAAGGAAGCACTCTTCAGCCGTAGACACATTGATGGCGGCGCACTTCAGGCACGGGAGTGACCGCGCGCTGCTGGATGCTCTCACACACGACGACCTCTTCCGAGCGCTCGCCGCCAACTGGTACCTACCTACACTCAGCAAGGAAGCACTCTTCAGCCGTAGACACATTGATGGCGGCGCACTTCAGGCACGGGAGTGACCGCGCGCTGCTGGATGCTCTCACACACGACGACCTCTTCCGAGCGCTCGCCGCCAACTGGTACCTACCTACACTCAGCAAGGAAGCACTCTTCAGCCGTAGACACATTGATGGCGGCGCACTTCAGGCACGGGAGTGACCGCGCGCTGCTGGATGCTCTCACACACGACGACCTCTTCCGAGCGCTCGCCGCCAACTGGTACCTACCTACACTCAGCAAGGAAGCACTCTTCAGCCGTAGACACATTGATGGCGGCGCACTTCAGGCACGGGAGTGACCGCGCGCTGCTGGATGCTCTCACACACGACGACCTCTTCCGAGCGCTCGCCGCCAACTGGTACCTACCTACACTCAGCAAGGAAGCACTCTTCAGCCGTAGACACATTGATGGCGGCGCACTTCAGGCACGTGGAGTGACCGCGCGCTGCTGGATGCTCTCGCACACGATGACTTCTTCCGAGCGCTCGCCGCCAACTGGTACCTACCTACACTCAGCAAAGAAGCAGTCTTCAGCCGTGGACACTCAATTATCTTGTCTAATAGCATGAACTGTGTTTTTAAGTAAGTAAGAATGAGTTCTTAGTAATAATAGTAAAGAAGTAGGTTATTTACGGGATTGTTACCATGTACCTTGTTTTTAGCGAGTTTCCGATATTTCGGCACTGTTGCAAGCCCCATGATCACGGACTAACTGATTACTGTTACTCCGTGATCATGGCGCTAACTGATTACTGTTACTCCGTGATCATGGCGCTAACTGATTACTGTTACTCCGTGATCATGGCGCTTACTGATTACTGTTACTCAGTGATCATGGCGCTTGCAACAGTGCCGAAATATCGGAAACGCTAAAAACAAGGTACATGTTAACAATTCCGTAAATAACTTGTATTACTATATAATGTTAGTGACCATGAAAGTTTAAAACAATATACTCAAAAGTAGGTATCTATTTTTGTACAATAGGAAATTAAAGTCATTCTTCTGTTGTATGTAACCAATTAATAAGTCGTAGCTTTATGTTCCCAATCAATTTCAAGGGGTAGGAAATCGATTCACAGCTGGCTAAAGTGAGAGCACATTACAAAATGTAATGACAATAGGGTTGATGACAGGGTACAGTAAACGAAATTCTATTTAGTCCGTCAGTTAGATGATCAAAAAATAATGGACAAGTATTTTTTCTTTGGACAATCAACCAAAAAATGACAAAGTTATATCGCGTCAAAGTTTGGGGAGTAGGGGCTAGTGACGTCACTTTTGAGTGAATTTTCACTTATAAGTGTACTCAAACGTGACGCCATGCGACTTTTCAAATCAATATATCTCTGCAATGTTTATATTATGTGAAAAAATAAAAAATACGTGTCCAAACGAAGAAAAAAAAATAGTCATCATCCCTATTTCTATGAACTGCAGCAGTATACTTCCGCCTCCAGGTTGAATAAAAGCGAGGAGGAGATCTCCCCGGCGGACCGCGAGCGTACCAAGCGCATAGTGTACGCGAGCCTGTACGGCTGCGGCGCCAACAAACTGATGGACATCCTCGACGTTGGGTACCAACAAGCGCTGGATATAACTGCCAGCTTCAACAGTTAGTCTTTTTAGGTGCTATTCCGAGACGGGCTGCAGACTGCAAAATGCAGCGAAGAAGAGAATTGGTAAAATAAGCCAAAGGGGCAACTTAACCATAGTCAAGGGCGGATCCATCCATACATAGTATGTATGACTATGGTCAAGGGCGGATCCAGAGGGGGGGGTCATGGGGGGGTCATTTAGACGTGGTCAAGTCACAGTGGGTACAGATTGTGAAGTACAGATTGTGAAGTGGGTACAGATAGACCCAGCCCAGGGGGGGGGGTCATGACCCCCCCCTCTGGATCCGCCCTTGACCATAGTCATACATAGTCATAATATTTAAGGCTTCATGTTGGTTACATTTAGTTCTTAAAAATAGCAGCTCGCAAACATGAGCCCTGCAAGGGCATTGCAAATTATAATAAAAGTGTACAAATATTAATTTAAAATTTGATAAAATATATGACAATTAAATTAATAATTATATAGGATATCAATTAAAGATAGATAGAAAATTTAAATAAGTTAATAAAAAATATAATTTTAAAATTAATTCATATAATACTTTAAGCAATTATAATATAGACTGTAAAGAAATGTTTTTCCAGTAAAATTTTATTTAGATTCAAACCTCTATCAGCTAAATGCTTAAAATGCTGGTCCAAACCAGTTACAGTTACTTACTGTTTACTTACTTACAAGATTTCTGGTCTATCGTACGATGTACGAGAACACTACGTATATGTACGAGATTTTGTCATATAAATTGATAACATGATTTTTCATGTGCAGTCGCGGCATGTCGCCGTGCATGGAAAAGCCACCACGACTGCATGCGACACTGCGGTCGACCGTAGTCGCTAGCCGCAGTGTCGCCTGCGGTTGCAGCCTGCCGTCCGTCTCGAAATCTTTATTTTTGTACTTTACCAATTTGCAGTGTTTTGTCATGCCAGTTTGTCATACCACCAATGAAGTCAGCAATGTGTTGGCCGATATATCTACTCTTATACAGGTATAAGAGTTGATATATCAGCATATCATTGGTGTTTCTAGATTTTGTACAATTTACCTTAGATTAAAACAAAAAGGGTAGATACGGTACGCTCATACTTGCATCAAACAAAAACTGATCCCACGGCAGCGCGAACGGGACGGCGAGATCCGCGTCACTGCATTACCGACCCGAACGAAACAGCACGTTAAGTTTCAACGGCAGCGCGAACGAGACGGCGAGATCCGCGTCACTGCACTACCGACCAATCACGCGACTAGTACTCGACGTCACTACCGAAAAAGATTCAAAACAAACAACAATTTTTATGAAAAAATATATTTTATAGTACTTACGAATGAAAAGTGGTGCCGTGGGTTTTATTTCTAGTTCTTGAGCAATTTTAGCACTTTTTAAAAACACACTTAGGGATTGTTTTATCATATAAACACAAAATATTGCAATATTTCTTTTTGGCGTTCACATGTACAATTGTAATTTCCCTCATTTCTGTTCTGTGTTGTGGTGTTTTCAATAAAGTATTGTGTATTGTGTGTATTGTATTGTATGTACTTCGTTTGCATGTCAAGTTGTGACTAAAGCGATTAGGGTCGTGGACCACAATTGGTGCGGATCACTTTTGTGAGGCTAGTGCCATATCTACCCTTTTTGTTTTAATCTAAGCAATTTACTCCAGATTGTAGGAGGTATTCTGAGTAAAATGGGAAAGTGTTTTATTCTGAGGGGTACTGTGACAGAATTTGTCACATTCCATATTTGAACTGTAGGAACATTCCCGTCACTAAAGTCCGCGCGTCCTGGAAGTGTTCTCGTAACGCCGAGTACTTAGTCGGTAATATCAGTGGTATTACAAGAATTTTCTATTTTATGTGGCACTGAAAACGTGTGTCACGTTTCATACTCAAACTCCAGGGGGCCAATCGCCTCACGGAAATGCTTTGGAAAACGCTAACGCTTACGATTTTATTTTGTTATGTCTAGCCGCCTGAAGTATTCAAATGCCTCGCGCTCTTTCTTTTTCTTTTGCATTGGTAAGAACAATATTAAAAAAATGAGCGTTAGTTATTCGAAAACCTCAGGCGGCTAGAAATCCATACTAATATTATAAATGGGAAAGTGTGTTTGTTTGTTTGTTTGTTTGTCTTCTCTTCACGCCTAAACCGCTGAACCGATTTGGTTGAAATTTGGTAAATGTATAGCTTGAACTTATGAGACTGCTATAGGCTACTTTTTTTTAATTTATGTATTCGAATTTACATAATTTTCAACTAAATTAATCATTTTCATGGTTGGTCCCGATAGAGATGGCGCTACTGTCACGGAGACAGATTAAATTTGAAATGTGGAAGTTGCTATCTTAATACGAGATGGCACCACTCGTGTTCAATACCGAGTATTTTGTGTTAGTGTTTCATTTATTAAATCGAGGTAATTTTACGCAATTTCTTTCTAATCTCATTTTTAAAATTAAATCTAGCAAATATTACCCTAAATTTATAATATAAAAATATCATTTTCGAGTGATTATAGATTCTGGATGTTGCTTATAATAATAAGAGATGGCGCTACCATCTCGAATACCAACTCAACCGAGTAGTCTCTCTGGAAATAATATTTTTTGAGTAACTTAATAGATGGCACCACCCTTATTTAAAATGAGTATTTTTAATTGTTTAAAAATCTGAGTTGTGATATTGCGTTTTTTCAGATCGCGCTATTTATGAACATGACTTTTTAATATTTATTGTTAATTTTAACGTGATGTAGGTAGATATTTTAATTAAAACAATATTAGTAAAAAAAAACCCGACTTCCTTCAGTGTCCTAATATAACATCAAATAGATATTAAATAATCAGCTGTTTACAGTAGACAGATACTAAATAAACAGCTGTTATGATTTATTTTAGTCCCTTAATCGAGTATTATCCAATAATTTTCAAGTGAAGATTGATCCTGGATGTTAATAGAAGTAGGCGCTACCAACTCGAAT